ATCTTGCATCCATCAATTGACCTCATCTGACGAACTGAATGTATGGAATAAAATATTATGTTCCACTTTATTTTTCGAGCATGATTTATAAATCATTTAAGCTTGAATCAATGAAAATGCTAATGATATTTAGGTTCAAATATGTTATGTAAGTTATATTTTGTTTATATATAAATGAAGAAATGATGATTAGCTATTTTATTGAAACCCCAAAAGCATAATGTATAAGTTGATATCACTAACAGAGATAATACATAATTGGACACTTATGTGACAGACATGGTTAGAATTTATGAAACCGCTAGAAAGGCCACAGGTTGTAGAATAGCGTTGGACCGTAGGTCTATCATTCAATCCTATGAGAACTACGTGACTGACCCATTTTGTCCACTTGTTGAACACATACATGACATTTACGAGAGATGTATGGCGGCGGTAGATGTAGGATAGGAGATTACGCATATCGAGACTGTAAATAACCTCATACACTCACTTCCACCTCAATGGGGAAACATGAGAGTCATGGTTAGGGATGAGATGCTAGAAGGTAACCCTTCAGAGCACCCAAATGCAATTGAATTTGGTATATATTGTCAGATCATTCTGGACAGGTGGAGTGAGAGCTTAGAACCTCAACCGTAGATAGTAATTGAGCCCGAGCCCGAGCCAGAACCTCAGTTTGAATCGGACCCAGAGGAGGATCCCGAATGGGAGCATGAGGAAGACTTTGGGTTGGAATTAGAGAATGAACATGAGCCTGAGCCACAGGTTGAGATGGACCTAGAGTCGAGGCCTGAGACAGAAGACTCCTTCGAAGATGAAGCTCCACCAAAGAAGATTCGTAAGATTCATAGGGATTAGAATTTAGATTCCTTTTCCTTGTGTTATCTTTTCCTTAATGTTATGGAAGTAAAGGTCGTCGAACTATTGTATATCCTGATTTCAAGGAGTACTTTTAATAATACAAAAAAATAAAAATCAATTCTGGTTCGAGCTGAAAATATTTCCCTATTTTAATCCTGGTTTTGGAAAAAGAAGTTAATGTGAGATATTATATCTTATTTCTAGGGAATGTCTCGTGCAAACCAGAACAATTTGATAAGGGATCTTCTACAAGCAGTTCGAGATCTTGGCAGGCTGAATCAGAACCTAGCTCCACCTACACCGCCAGCTCCAATTACTCTTCCGACTCATGCCTCCGTGGTTGAGTTATTTCGAAGGCATTAGTCCCCTACATTCGATGGAGCATCTGGTCCGTTAGTAGTTGAGGAATGGCTTCGTAAGCTAGAACGAATTTTTCGGCTCATAGACTACACCAACGCCCAAAAGGTTCAGTATGCGGAGTTTATGTTTATTGGTGATGCAAGTTATTGGTGGGATTCAATGTCTCGGACTAGAACCCTGGAGCGGCGTTAACATGGGAACAATTTAAAGAGGAAGTAATGGACAAGTATTTTCCTCAGTCTCTAAGAGATTTCAAGAAAAGTGAATTCTTTCAACTCAAACAGGGTAATATGTCCCTGACTGATTACGAACGAAAGTTCGATCAACTCTCAAGATATGCTCGACACCTGGTTGACACGGAAATTAAGAAGACTAGAAGATTCGAGCAAGGGTTAAATCCAGACCTAAGCATGATCCTAATGTCACATCATTTCACATCATATCGTGAGATGTTGGAATGAGCTCACGCTATTTGGTATTAGAAGGCTAATGCGGAGCAATACCGTCAATTGTACAACCAGCAAGATAGAGGGCATATTGGAAAGAGGAAGTGGAATGGTCAAGACAAAGGAAAGGGCAAATGGCAAAATAAGAAGGCTAACATCGGATCTAGTGCCAACAAGGCCATAGTAGCGACAGTTGCGCCTTGTCTGAAGTGTGGTAAGCCTCATCGTGTTAAATGCTTGTATGGGAAGAATGCCTGTTTTCGGTGCGATAAGCCAGGACATATTGCTAAGGATTGTCCTATGTTCACCCAAAAGAAGGATGATAATAGTGATCAGAACAAAAAAGGAAAAAGCACGAGTCTTTACACTAACTCAGAAGGATGCAGAGGAAAACTCAAACGTAATAACAGGTATTTTACTGATATTCAATACACCTGCTTATGTATTGTTTGATTCGGGAGGTACTCGCTCTTTTGTATCAACGTCTTTCATTACTAAATCTAGTATTACTTGTGAGAAGTCAGAAAGTACACTAGAAGTTAGCGTCCCTTCAGGTAGAACATTAAATACAGTTCAGTTAGCTAGGTCGGTAAAACTTGAAATCGAAGGAAAAACATTAGAAGCTAATTTGTATCTGATAGAGATGAAAGACTTCGATGTGATTTTGGGCATGGATTGGTTGAGATGTAATTATACAACCATTCGTTGTAGAGAGAGGGAAGTGTCTTTTTAGAAACCAGGAGAAGAGCAATTCTCTTTCCTCGGAATAAAGACCAAACCCCATCTCCAACTAGTATCGGCCTTGCAAGCTGAGAAAATGATGAGAAAAGAAATGTGCCAAGGGTTTCTAGTTAACATCTCAGGAGAAAAACAGACGACAATAAAGATTGAGGACGTACCAACGGTACGAGAGTTTATAGATGTGTTTCCAGAAAAACTACCTGGTACTCCACCAGATAGACAGGTGGAGTTCACAATAGATCTGATTCCCAGAGCGGCACCAGTATCTAAAGCTCCATACAGAATAGCTCCAAAGGAACTTCAGGAGTTAAAATTTCAATTACAAGAATTGTTGAATTGTGGCTTTATTCGACCAAGTGTGTCTCCTTGGGAAGCACCAGTATTGTTCGTAAAGAAGAAAGATGGAAGTATGAGGATGGGTATTGACTATCGAGAGTTGAATCGTTTGACCATCAAGAATAAATATCCTCTCCCGAGAATCGAGGATTTATTTGACCAATTGAAAGGGACTAAGGTATTTTTCAAGATCGACTTATGATCTGGATACCATCAGTTGAACGTTAAGGCAAGTGATATACCCAAGACAACTTTTCGAACTTGTTATGGACATTACGAGTTCACAGTTATGCCGTTCGGGTTGACAAATGCTACGACAGTGTTCATGGATTTAATGAATCATGTATTTCATCAGTATTTGGATCAATTTATCATAGTGTTCATTAATGACTCCAAGAGTAAAGATCAACATGAAGAGCATCTTAGAATGGTGTTAGAAACACTACGTAAGGAAAGGTTATACACCAAATTTAAAAAGTGTGAATTTTGGCTTGAACAAGTTGAATTCCTAGGTTACCTAGTTAATGCCCAAAGAATTGAGGTAGATCCAGTAAAAGTGGAAGCAGTAACTAATTGGAATACACCAATTAACGTGGGTGAAATTCAAAGTTTTCTAGGATTGGCTGGGTACTATCGGAGATTTATAAAAGGATTTTCCAAAATAGATGGACCAATGATACAATTGACAAGGAAAGGAGTAAAGTTTCAATGGACAGATAAGTGTGCGCAGAGCTTTCAGGAGCTAAAACGACGATTGATTTCAGCACATGTATTAGCTATACCTGAAGGTTAGGAAGGATTTGTTATATACATTGATGTATCCAAACAAGGTTTAGGATATGTACTGATGCAGCACGGAAAAGTGATTGCCTATGCATCAAGGCAATTGAAGCAACATGAACTGAACTACTCGACACATGATCTAGAACTTGTTGTAGTAGTGCATGCTTTAAAGATATGGAGCTATTACTTATATGGAGGGAAGTGCGAAATTTACACTGATCATAAAAGTCTCAAATATTTCGTCACACAGAAGGAATTGAATATGAGATAGACACGATGGTTGGAACTTGTAAATGATTATGATTGTACTATCCATTACCATCCGGATAAGGCTAATGTTGTTGTCGATACGCTAAGTAGAAAGTCAGTGGGACGATTGGCGTCATTACCTACTACTCAGTTGGAGTTGATCAAAGACTTGGAGAATTTAGGAATCAAAATGGTTGCCACACCAGAGCAAGTCACCACCCGTTTAGTAACTTTGGTGGTTCAATCTACTCTCAGAGATCGGATCATTGAGGCACAAGGTAAGGACCCATTCTTGCAAAAGATCAAGAACGAGATTGGTACTGATAAGAGAAAGGACTTTAGAATAGCTTCGGATAGGGCTTTGATGTTTAATGAAGGATTTGTGTACCTAAGGATGAAGTTTTGAGGAAGGAGATATTGGAGGAGGCTCATATCACTCCATACACTGCACATCCTTGCTGTACGAAAATGTATCGAGACCTTCGAGATACATTTTGGTGGAGGAATATGAAAAGAAGTATAGGTCTATTTGTGGCAAAATGCATTGTTGTCGACAAGTTAAAGCAGAACATCAAAGACCGACAGGGTTGTTAAATTCATTGGACATACCAGAATGGAAGTGGGAGAATATCGCAATGGACTTTGTGGTAGGATTTTCGAGATCGGCAGGACGGCACAATGATATATGGGTAATAGTGGACTGTCTAACGAAGTCCGCTTATTTTCTTCCAGTGAAAATGACATTCAGTCTAGATCAGTTGGCAAAGTTTTACATTAAAGAGATCATAAGATTGCATGGTACCCCCATATCCATTGTGTCTGACAGAGATCGGAGATTTACATCTAAGTTTTGGAAGAGCTTGCAAGTGGCTATGGGAACGAACTTGAATTTCAGTACGACATATCACCCTCAATCCGATGGTCAATCTAAAAGAACCATTCGGACTTTGGAAGATATGTTAAGAGCCTATGTTTTGGATCTAGGAGGCAATTGAGAATCGTATTTACCTTTGGTGGAATTTGCATATAATAACAGTTTCCAAGCAACTATTGAAATGGCACCGTATGAAGTTCTCTATGGTAGAATATGTAAATCATCTGTTCATTGGAATGAAGTCGGAGAAAAGAGAGTTTTGGGACCAGAGATCATTGAAAGGACAGTCGAAGCCATTGATAAGATCCACACTAGGATAAAGGCAGCGCAAGACAGATAAAAGAGCTATGCAGATATCAGACGAAAGGACTTGGAGTTTCAAGTTGGAGATAAAGTCTTTTTAAAAGTGGCACCAATAGAGTGCGTACTTAGGTTTGGCAAGAAAGGCAAGCTACGACCTCGTTATATCGGACCTTTTGAAATACTTGATAGGGTCGAAAGTGTGGTTTATCGATTAGCTTTGCCGCCCGAACTATCAGCAGTTCACAAGGTATTTCACATATCGATGATCAAGAAGTATATGCATGATCCTGATCACGTGGTCAATTATCAATTCCTAGATGTACGTAAAGGTTTTTCTTATGAGGAATTACCGATTAGAATACTGGATCGAAGGGTACATAAATTACGGAACACGGAGATTCAACTGGTCAAGGTGCAATGGAATAATCATGGAGTCGAAGAAGTTACTTGGGAAGAAGAAGAAGTTAAAGACAAAAATCCGACACTCTTTGCCAATGCATAAGGTAAATTTTGAGGACGAAATTTTGTTTAAGGTGTAAGGGATGTAGAAGCCCAAGAAATAAAATGAAATTAGGCTATATGTTGTGATGATCTAGCACCACGAGCTTATCTCATTTAAGAAACGAGTTGTGGAAGCTCAAACCATTTAAGACTTTGAAAGCCCAAGCCATAAATTAATTAAAAGTCCAACAATTTAAGAGATTATGTTTAAGTAAATTTGATTACAAAAATTTAATGAATAATTGGGTTGTCTCAATGGTCATCTACATGGTATTTCATATAGGCAACCCAGATTCGAATCATCATGTAAATATTTTTATAAAACTTTTTTATGAATTTTTTTAGGCTTACAAACTCTTCAAATTCTTAGTTAAAGATCAAACTTAACAAATTTTATGATAATACAACTCCCCCCATTTAGTTTTTCATTATAAAGAAAGGTTACAAGAAGTAGAATGTCACTTTTTCACTACATCCTTCCTTAAATTCGAATTTCATCTTATTTTCTCTCAAAAAATATATTTTATGTCAATTTAAGTTAAGGAAATAACAAGAGTGAGAAGAAGAAATGCTTTCTATACATTTGTTCTTTGATATCCAAGAAAATTCAAGATATGTTGAGGTGCAAGTGTTATTTCGTTTTCAAATTTGATTTTTCATTAAAAGTTGAATGAAATGGTACCTCCGGGTACGATGCTTCGGCATTACTATAGTTTGAATGATCATTCTCCGGCTCTATGTGTTATGATAATGCTATAGATATCAGATTTTGCCGAAAATCCATCTACGTGCAATGGTATGAATCCATGGTTCGAATTTTCTAATTTGATTACGAAATGCACCGATAATAACTATTGAGTTTTAAACTCATGGGTTAAATCCCTTTTTAAGATTGATTTTGTTCTTTTGTTGGGGGCGCGGATGATGGTGGTCGAAGATGCAATTTGACATGGAAAAGCCGGTGAATTAACAACTTTAAATTGATTATAAAATATTTGCATTTCCTATTAATTACTCTTCTATGGACATCGTATATGAAACTATTTCTACGAATATTTTCTTATGAATAGGTTATATTTAAAAATTTCAGTTTCTGCTCAGATTTTAAAAATTCATAACTAATTTGTTACTTCAAATTTTTGAATAAAGCTACTGGTGTTTGATAGCCTTATAAGTTAGCTACTGTATAAACTTAGAATCATGTCGATTCGATGTCGGTAAAATTTTATATGTCACTTCAAGTAAACATAGTGTTGCTGTTTTCTGAAAATTCCAGTTTCTGCCATTGAACTTAAAAATTCGTAACTCAATCGTTACTTGGGATTTTTGGACAAAATTAGTGGGATTTAATAGCCTCATGGATTAGCTACTGAATAAACTCAAAATCATATCAATCCAATATCTATGAAATTTTATATGCCGCTTCAAGTATGCCGTGCTGGGTTACTTCCCAAATCGAGTCGCTGCGAGCTTTTGAAAAATATTTTAGCATCTCATATGTCACCGACAAAAGCTAAATTTTGGATATGTTATATTATGAGAAGTTCCCTACTTTCTCTTAAAGTTTCGTGAAATTTCGACCTAGGTTACTATGTAAACGAGTTTACTTTAAAACTTACTGCGCAAAAAAGGGAAGTTAAACAATAACATTTATTTTTAAATTCTTGCCTAGAATTTCACGTAACAAAATGTATTTATGCATGGATGTCGCCTGAAGACATTAGGAATTATTTTCTTTTGTATTGAGTTATGTTGTTATTTATTGTACTTTTAAAAAAAAAATTCTTAAATTAAATCTTTATAATTTTCTCTAAAAGTTTAGCTATTTTTTTCAGTTTACGGCTAAAAGTACAATTAATCTAGTGACGTTTCGATCCTTGCGGGTCGGGGCATTACACCAGTGTCACATGGTTCGGCATGAATTGACACTGGACTTCGATGGATTGCCCAAATGTGCAAACACGTAACAGCTTTATTGATCCCAACATCTAAAAATAATCACTTGGTCACGTAAATAAGCTTATCAACACTCACATGAGTGCAATCCGTAACTGTGGTCGGCAAAATGCCAATTTCTTGATCAAAAAATTTCTTTTTTTAGTGGAATAAATACTATGAATCCTTTCAAACTATTATGTTCAATGTCAATAAAATAATAGAATCAATGACACGTTGAGGAAGACAGTGATTATAGGGGCCTTTGGTTCATGAAATCCCATTTTATAAAATTTGGAATATAGGATTAATTACCAAATTGAGAGAATTCGATGTGAACTCATGTAGCAATAATAGTTACGAAATCCACATAAAATTGTTTGAAAACCAAAAATTTTGAAAATATTTGATAAGTTTTGTTGAATTAAGAATAAGATAGAAGTGAAAATTTTCACATTATGATTAATTCTCAAAAATTAATGTCTTTATTGTACAATTAATGGGCCTTTTATAGCATAAAATAAATTCATAATCATAATGAAACTCTAATACTAAAGCCAAATTCAAATAAACTAGAAAACTACAAAACAAATTTGAATAAAACTAAAATACTATAAATAATGAAAATACCCATAAACTAATTGAAAACATAAAAACGCAAAAATTGATCCCTAAACAACCAATTTTGCCCCCAAAGTTTGACTTAATCATCTGACAAACTTGTTTAGAAAAGACATTTCCGAATTGTAGTCATGGGTGCAAATTCGACAACGGAGCAAAAAGTTATACTCATTTTTGTGTATCCTGTGTGTTTTTACGCATACTTTATGTTCCTTCCATTTTTGAAATTGTTTTAGGATCTTCTCTTCTAATTGATTCGTATCACTCCAAAACATGTGATGGATCATTGTTAGCTTGTCGTCCATGATTCTCATCAGAAGTTGATATTATATGTAATGGGGATGAATATAGTGATTTTTAATTTGTGAAATTATGTTAAGAATGTATTTAGAGTGGAATGAATACATAAAATTTGTGCGAATCTATAGTATTTAAATAAACAAATTAATAAGAACAATATTGGAATGTGGCGTTGATAAAAATAGTAATTTTTCAAAATTTTAATATTTTAATAAGGATAGATATAGAGTGGGATTAATATATGGATGTAAATAGCAGCTACTTTAATGTATTTTTTGTTTTAATATCTTTGAAAAATAAAATATTTATAGTTAGTAATAATTAAATATAATTTCACACCCTTTCATGCTTCTCTTGATATACAGAACACAAAATATAGATAGGAAGAAACAGAGTATACATTATATAAATATGACCAGTATTTTAAAAAGCATAAAGTGTAGCTAGACGTGGAGTCTAATCTTCAAGTTTTATGAGTTTAAGGAAGCTTATGTAAGATTTAGGCATAAAAAAAACTTTTATTATTTATAATATTATTTTAAATTTTTAATTATTTTAAAATTATTTAATAATTAAAATAATACATATTAAAAATCTAAAATCATGGAATACAATATTTACTTGATAACTCCCAACATTAGTTAATTATACAATTTTTAAGTTTTCGAAATGCAAAAATTAGAATATGTTTCATAGTTTCAATTTTCATTTAAACAAGTCTTACTCAATAGATTTATATGAACTTTAAACATACTTTTGGAGTTTGAAATAAAATAAATCTCAAGATCATAATTATATAATATAGATAACACCAAAAATTAAATCTTATTTAACTATTTAGATAAAGTTATTTTTAACTTTTGTACAGATAAAATCTTTTTAAAACTTGAAATTAAAATCAAATAAAAAGTTTTTTTAAATAATAATAGGCTAAAGAGAAATAAATGGCTTAAAAAAAAAAACACTAATGAAGCGCATCCACGGAAGACAAAGGAAATGAAGAAAAAATTTGGCCATTTAGAAATTCGAAAAAACATTGTCTAAACACAAGGCGAGGCTTTTTGTTTGAGCTTCAAGCCTAGGCGGCATCTAGACGCCAGTTAGACGAGCTCTTTAGAGCAGGACGTCGCTTAGACGAGCTCTTTAGAACACTACATATGACATATCCATGTAAATTCGAAACAAAAACAATAAAAATAAAAACAAAAAGAAGAAGAAAGGTTCACACACACAGACAGAGCGGTCACAGGCTGGCGGAGGGTTGAGGATGAAGGTTGACATCAATCGGCAGGCAACAGCGAGTAGGTCACCACTCCAACTCAGTCACACGATGTCGAGCTGTGCAAAAAATAGGGTTTGGTTTGCAATCAGTTTTGCTAACAGTGTGCTTGCAATCAATTGTGCTTAGGTCTTTAGAGGCATATGGGCTATAGATAATATTAATGGGCTTATTTGAAAAAAAAAAAAGTCCAAAGCAAAATTCTTTTTTGGCCCAACAATGGCCATTGCTTCTTGTCTTCAAACTTCTCATTTTCAGGGTATTTTTTTTTTTTTTTTTTTTTTTTTTTAAAAAAAAAAAAAAATTTTC